GAAGTTGATTCTGGAGCTCTAACGGGCAACTTGTTTCTGTCCTTAAATGAGAGGAACCAATCCTTCCCAGCTTTTTTTCTCTGCCCCAGCTTTCAGGAATCGGAATGTCATTTGATTTTGCAAACTCGTAAGCTAGTGCCCGACATTTCACCACGCTAAGACCATGAAATCGATCAGATAATTCCTTGATGTGCAGTGCCAAGTCGTTCTCCATTTGAAGAGGGAATATGCGCTTGGATGCCGATAGTCTTTTGTATCCAGTTTGGATTTCATTATCTGCTTTGCCTCTAGATTTCATGATAAAACGACGCAGTGTGGCTCTGTCAATATCAAAATTGCGTGATACTTCTCTCAAACTAGCACCAGCAATGAATGCATCAGCAGCTCGTTTCATAACATCAAGGGGAACAGCAGCCCGTTGTGTCTTTCCAACATAATTTCGTAGCATCTGAAATCAAATACCACATTAAATACAACTAGAAATTTGCAAAATAATATTAAAAAGCCTGTTGGGGTAAGACGAAGGTTCATCTTACCCCACGACAACCATTTTGAATAAATTAGTTGCCAACACGGTGCTTCGAGTCGAATTGAAATGAAACATGGACAGAAGAATAGTCAAAAAGTGAACAAGCCTTTAATAGTATAAGATAAAAATAGCACAAATACTTACCACAGTAGTAACTGTTAATTACAATTAACAATATTTCACTTTTTGGTCCAAGATAGAGTCTTTATCACATAAAAACTGATACACTGCAAATAAGAACGTGTAGCTCCGTCAGAGGCCTGTGATGATAGAAGGCCTCGGGTGGATGGCACCACAGGTTTACGAGATTTGTAATGACGTCAGCACAAGAGGTGGTTCATCTTACCCGACGGTTCATCTTACCCCAGTTTCTCCTACTGCATTTCCCCGGCGGCAATTGGTTAAAAGCATTACATATTACAGGTACTGTATAAGGTACGTCGTACTTATTGGGATTTATGTACAGGTATTCCGAATATAAACAAAACTTTAAAACAATGGGAAAAAAGGCAATGGAGACCGGACTTTCGACATACAGTCAAATCGACTTCCGAATGGCCTCTCGGTCCCCATTATGTCCATAAGTTGGGGACTTACTGTATATTATATATATATATATATATATATATTATATATATATAATACATATATATATATATGTATATATATGCGCATATGTATATGTACACACGTGTTTTGTGTGTGTGCGTGTGTGTGTGCGCGTGTTTTGTGTATATGTGTGTGCGTGTTTTGTGTGTGTGTGCGTGTTTTGTGTATACACAAATAATATAGACATATGTATATGTATATACATATATATACATATATGTCTATATATACATATACATATACTTAAAAGTGTGTGTATATACATATATGTATATATATTCATATATATATTTGTATGTATATATTTATGCATATATATACACATATTTATATATATACATACATGTTTTCATATATACATATATATCTATATGTTTTTAAATTTATATAATGCTATAATGTATATGGATTCTTTGTATTAGGAAATTACTTATGCTTTTTGCTTTCTTTCTCTTTTTTTAGATGCCTTTAAATGGATGATTCAGGCAGACAGAAGAGATGTGAGTGAAGAGTTCTACAAAGTTCAACCTGAGTTGCGTTCCTTGTATAAAAGAAGAGCTTCCCATGCTGTGGAGAGACGCAAGGAAACCAGGGGAAGAAATAAGTACAATTACCATGGAAATGGAGCACAAGTTTCTCTTGGCTCAGATCATAGGTGGAGGGATAGAGATGGCCACTCCAGATAACATATATGTATTTGTTTTGTTAATAAAACTCACAGATTCAGTGACTTTTGTTTGCATGTTAACTATAGTTTCTTTAGAACTGAATTTTCTAAATTCCATTGTTGTTCTGTGTTAAGAGAGTGAAAGAATATATGCTTTGGATGCTAAGCAGGTGAATTGTTCAGACTGTAACGAGGAAAAGGGTACCAGAATGCAGTCTTGTGCATGTATTATAAAGATAACTGATGTGCAGGATTTTTTATATAAGTATGTCATATCTGTATCCTCAAAGATTGTTTTGTCTTATGTGTTCTATCATATACCTGTATATGTAATGGTTTACCCAAATCAGATGGGCATGACATGTACATACATGCCATTCCTACAGTGAGTTTACTTTATTAATTGTTTACACATAGATGGTAACACCTGTACTAAGTCACCAAGGAGCCAATTACGAGTACTGCCTGTCTGGCCAGTTTACCCTTTTCCTTGATTTTTAAAAATATTTTACATTATTTTATATTGGTGTTACGAATGTCTATATTATAGTAATTATAATGTCTATAATAAAAATAGCACTGTTAATATTCATAGCATTGATAAAAAAAAAATCCCACCAATTCAAGGAAAAGTGAAATCAGGTAAGGTCTCAAGGTCTACTAATTGACTCCTTTGTGGCTAAGCAGTAGCAAAA